TGCAATCTCTGAACTCTATTATAAGTGTCCTTAACTGTGACAAATTGTAATATTTCTGAATAAAGTGTTTTTAATAATCAATATATTTTATTTTCTCATTTGTGTTTTGGGCTATAGTAATGATAGTTATGTAAATAGTCGCGATTATCATAGGAATTTTGGTTGATTATTAATCTATTTATTAACTTTACTTAATCCAATGATAGTATTTTTTTTCCTATCCACAAGTATATTTCAACCTTTAGGTCTCCCCTAATTAAGAGGGTAATGGTCTAACTTCCCGCGGAGGCCAACCGTAGTCAATAGTTTTAAATGTTATTATTAAACTTATTTAAATGTTAATATATAGTAGTAAGCTAGTAAATATTTTATCTATCTAACTTTAAAAAATGATAATTAAACTGACTGATTTTGATTGTGATGCAAATTATGCAAGTAAACAAGTTTTATTATAAGAAAAGAAGGATTGTTATTTTTTTTAATATTTACATATTTATGAAATTTAAAACTCTATAAAACAAATTTACAGGATTGGTATTAAGTTTAAATAATAACGGTATGCTGTCTCACATTTAAATAATAGCTTTCATATAATAATGACGGAGGAAAACGTAATTCCTAAGCATCAGTTAGGTTTTCGTACGTTCCATTTAACAACTGACTACATTGCCTGAGCACTGTAGCAAAAACAATACGCAGCCAGCGTGTTTGTGGGTGTTGGCCAGGCATTCGACTCTGGCACCAGATACTTCTCTTAAGACTCAAAATAATACTAATTCATACATATTACCTCATTCTACAATCTTTTCTTTTCGTCAGATTTTTCTCTGTCCGACAGGGCATAGAAATTTCTTTAATTCGACCAATGTTAGCAGGAGTACCTCAAAGATCAATACTAGTTCATGTACTGTACATTATATATATATATATATATATATATATATAAATATATAATGCATACGTATATATGTATGACATACTTATCAACTTTTAACAAAACACCATAACCCCAGGAGCAGCCTCAATGAATTTCCAAAATATCTTACTGACTTTACAGAATTGATACTCACTTTAGAAAATAAATTAAATCATGACAAGTCACAAAATATAACATTTACAATTCGACGAGAAAAGTGCTCACCAGTTTATATAGGAGAGAACCAAATCCTTCAGACAAACACAGTACATTACCTGGGACTTACATTCGACAAAACGATGACCTGGAGCACATACGTCAAAATAAAACGACATACTTTAAACACGCTACTGAAAATACTGTAGTCACTTTTTTCTAAATCGAAATTGAAAGTTCGACAAAACCCACTTACCTACTCATGCCCATATGGACATACGCCTTTCAGATTTCCGGTTCAGCGAAAAAGAAGCACTTACAAAAATTACAGCCATTTCAATCCAAAATTTTACGACTTATAACTGTAGCTCCCTGGTACGTCAACAACAAAACGATTTACGACAGCCAACTATAGACCAACACATACGTACTGTATACTCTCGTTTTCATCTCAAACTAAACGGACTTATAAACGACATGGCCACGACTGACATGCCCATCAGAAGGAGACTAAAAAGGAACTGGATGAGAGATCTCCTCACCTAAATTAAGAAAGTAAATAATGGCCAGGAAGACGTGCTGCTGGGTACTATCCTTCCTCATACCTAGAATGTCAATCCTTATCATCAAAACACATCTGCTGATTGTCAATACGATGACAGGTGCGGATAAATAGTTAAAGGGAAACAAAAATAAAATAAAATAAACATTCTTGTCATATTTGTTTGGATTGGTGCCATTTTTTATGTTTTATTTAAAAGGTATTAGATTACAGGTCACCAATAGTATACGTTTACATTTTATTTCTTTATTTGTCAGCGTTTTGGCCACTCAAGACATATTCAAGATTCTATCATGCACAGTTTCGTAAAAATAATTGTTAATATATCATTATTACATAATTGCTCATATGTTCAATCCTTTATTGCATGGAAGGTCGTCTGTATATCTGCTTTTTGAAAGGCATTAAGTGTGCTGTTTCTCTATGACCTATTCATTCCTCCTCTATTCCTATTCATACAACTCCCTAGAGTCGTAGAAGATCATAATGGAATCTTGAAAATGGCTCGAGAGGCCGAAACGTAGCCAAGTAAAGAAATAAAATTAAGAATTATGTTATAGGTGACCTGTGGCGTTATACCTTTTAAATAAAAACACATCATTTTTTTTTAACAGAAGTTTTGTTTGGGCTTACCGATTCGGGAAAAAATATATATAAAGATAACTGTTTTTGAAAAATTATTTAAAATTACCACGAGGAAGTAGTGGATAACAATCCTGATGATAAAACATGTTGTGGATTCTTGAAAATTTAATGTTGGTCAGGGATAAAATGGGGGCATAATCCTCAACAAGGCATCAAGATTAATTCCGAACTAAAGGTTGAATGAGGCGAAACGATAATATATGTAAAAAGTTTTAAACTAAGTAGGTTAGGATGGAGTTTGTTATTTGTTCAGGTTCCCTTCATTCTAATAAGTAAGCAACAAGTGGTTTGACTGTTCTACATCTGTGATGAATAACTTCTTATCTGCTATAATAAAAATAATGTAATTACGTTTGTAAGTATGAAGTAGTGGATATTTTAAAATTATAATTTATTTGTCCACTAATGTCAAAAGTACAAACCTTTCGTCATGACACATCCTTCTATGTATTCCTGGTGAGTCTTTTTTTTTCTGTCCCTTATATCTTTGTGGGACATAACTAGGTTTGAGCTAATTTCTTTTTTAGTTTTAATGCTTAACGTTTTTAATGAAATGAGTTTTTTGTTGTTGTTTTTTTATATGTGAGTTTTGTCGAATATAATTTACGTATAAATTACCGAGATAAATAGGACGGCAGGTTTCATGCCAAGAAGTCAAACTAATGTGTTGGGGTGTGTTTTGGTTGAATTTCCCAAAATTTGAACCAGCCATACAGTTTTTTTTTAAATATGTATTGATATACATATTTTGACATCATTTTTCTTCAAGGATATATTAGTAATCCTAATAGTAAGTATTATAGAGTTTTTTTTTTAAATATGTATTGATATACATATTTTGACATCATTTTTCTTCAAGGATATATTAGTAATCCTAATAGTAAGTATTATAGAGTGTTCATTTATACAATAAATACAAACAATTTTTTTTTCTTTCAATATTTATTTGCATCTGTTAACTCTAATATGTTAGGTATTAGTTTAAAAACTAAAGTAAAATGTAAAAATAAATAAAAAAACGATATAAATAAATAAATAAAAATGTATGAGGGAAAAATAATTAAAACAATGAAATAATAAATAATAATTAAATAACAACAGAATAATTTATACATAAGGAAAAGAAAATTAAAACAAAAATTTACACCTGTATTTCAACACTGAAAAACTTAAAAAGAACCACGCAACAATAACCCTAGACTCGGGTACAATTAGATTCAATAAAATAATAAGATAAAATTACAGAGAAAAAATAATTTTGCTAAAAAAAAATTAATAACACATAAAATCTATTGGTTTATACTACATACTGTCTACATCCGATAGTTTTTACATATTACAGCATCCAAACATATGTTTTAAATTGATAATTATTGTATCAATACATCAATAAAAAAAATATAAAACCACTGATGTATATCGTTCGCAGTAGTGTAAATTAAGATGGAAAAAAAATTTAAAAAGAAAAAAAAAGAAGAAAACATGAGATTTTACTTCCGTTGACCGAATGTGACCACTGACGGGTGGAACCAAAAGGGGAATTAGATTAATGAAACGTCAACCGTTTTAGAACATTAATCTTTCTATTGGGCTCAAACATAGCACTTCTACAATTTTTTTTTTCTTTTTAAATTACATTTCGCCCTGAAATAAAAGAAGTGGGAGTTATTGAAAAGATTAAATTCGATGATTTGATAAAGGAAATAAAAACATTTGTTTGGAATACAAATTTATCTGTTTCTGTGGCTTTGGTAACAATTATCTGTGTATGTGAATATTATATATAACAAAATAATCTATGGAATTATTTCAATTAACTTAGGCATAAATTAAATTTAAAAAAAAAAAAAAAAACAGGCTAAAACATGTTAAGTGCGTTTACGTGTGTGTGTGTAATCATCATTATTTAAAAATATATTATCTTTCTAAGTTCTAAGTTTCTTAATATTAATATCAATAGAAATATTTCCGTGTGATTTTGCAATTACTCATACATCTGAAAAAAAAAAATGTTTATTTATTGTAGGACTAAGCACTTAGTAGGAGAAGAAAATAAAGAAAAATAATATATGAACTTTATAATTAGGCAGTTCATATCTTTAATTTAAATATATGCAATATTATAAATTATAAAATATAATATAAAATTTTATTTTAATAATTTACATAACAAAATATTTTAATTAACTTAAATAAACAAAATAAAATAACTATTTTAACTGAAGAAAAATTGTGATCATTAAAAACTCTAATAGATATTATATGCGATTTTATGATGATCGTCACATCAAAAAATGTTGACTTTTCTATTCAGATTGTGTTAGAAAAAGGTATGAATACCTTTAATTAGAAAAAACAAAATATATTTCAATTATAGGGAAAATTATCTAAAACATAGAAGAGAAATATACAATAGTCAGTTTCTTGGTGATCATATCAATATCAGTATTAGTGAGAGATTTTATAATAATTCATACATCTGAATAAAATGTTTATTTATTGTAGGACTAAACACATAATAGGAGGAGGAAATAAATTTAAAAAATAACTTTACAAGTATGCAAATTTGTACTTTTAGTTAAAATACTTACAATACCAACTTATTATGATATTTAATCATAATATCCAATTTTTTTTCTGTATATGTATCAAGTTGAAATAAAATATGATTACGTGGTCTTATCTATGAATACATTGTCCTTATTTCTAATAAATGTTATTTTACTTACATTGGATGTGAAGAGTCCAATAGTCGGACAATGGGGGTGTTCCAGTGATGGAGGGGTTTTCCGCTTTGCAAGTCAAGTTCTGCCCATCGTCTTCTTTGCTAGGGACGAATGAAAGCGTGCTTGTTGTCCGATTGCCATCGTTCGCAGTCTGAAAAAAAATTATTAGTAATATTAAAATAAATAAATCAGTATAATAGAGAGATAAATTAGGATATTTTGACCAAGCAGAATTACTATCAAAGAGACAATATTATTTTACCCTACCCAAATAGGGCAGAAATATCATAAGGATGTAAATAATATTTTCATATTTTTTAATCTATCAATTTCTCGGTTAGGAATTTTTTTCTTAGTAGGAAAATACTATGTTTACCGGTCAACGATAACAATTTTTATGAAAAATGTTAACGTTGCTTACATAGCTATTCAATTACTCCAATGCTGAAGAAATAATGTTCTAGATGAACTTAATTGCGTCCCCATTTCTAACTTTCCTAAAAAAAACGTTTCAAATTCTGTGCAATAAACAAAAGTACAGTAAACAAAAAAATCGAATCCAATAGAAAAAAAATAGTAGCCGCTATCCACTAAAAATCACGTTACCGCTCAAAGGGAGAATTAAAATTTAACCGTATCATCATGCATGAGAACGACCTACAGCAATCTCGGACATCAGAATTCCTGGCAAATTGGGCGGAATTACAGTTCCTCCGACTAACTAGAAAATGGCGGCCGGTGATAGCGGTGGGGGTGCGATGTAAATAAAGGTGGGGGCAGTTAGCCCGATAAGAAAGGTATTACCCCGCGGGGAATTTTTCCCTCAATCTGCTGCCAAATCACGCGAATCCTCCCACAATCACGAACCATGCTCCTTTTGCCCCAGTTAGGGATACATCCTACCGTAATTCCACACCCCTTCGCCGCCATCTGTGGAATTATGCTATGGAAATCAGTTTTCCACTGCTCGAACCGGATTCAAACATTTTTCTTTATTTCGAACAAGTTACTCGACTTGGATCCCCTCTGACACGTAGCCTTGTTTTCAAGATTTTTTTTTTCTTCTTTAAACATTGTGTGTAATTACATTCCACTCTTTCGAAACCGCTGAGGAGGAAAATTCCATCATAAAATGGCTATTATTGCATGAGGAAAAAGGGCCTATTAAAATTTTGTAAATAAAATTAATCTCAAGATTTTCTGTTTTTTTTAATTTATTAACCAGAATTAAAAATAAATCTTGGTTTATTTAGACATTAATATTTTAATAATATTAGGTTCAGCGAAGTCATTCTGAGAATCCCATTTTGCCTATGAGTATTTCTCACCGGTTAGGAAAGGTCTAAAAACCTAAAATATTATTAAATTTTTAATTTATTCTTAGTTTAAAAAGGCAATTAGATAGTAAAACCAAATATTATAAAAATGGTAATATCTTTTATAGTATCTAATATTATCGGAATATTTTAAGTCATACTTTGCAATAAGCATAAGTAATAAACGTACTCCACTCACATGGTCCTTATTATAAAATAAGAGTATAGCATGATGTGGACCAGCAACGGAAAATAATTTATCGCTACTATTAGTGCAAAATCTCGTATGTATAAATTTTACATGCTTATTCTGTTTTAAAGATTAAATTTTTTTATCTGTAAATGCTGTAAAGCAGTCTAATATATAGGAAAATAGCAGAGAGAAATAACATATGAAATTACATCATTAAACCATAAAGGAATAATAGTGGTTTCTTCTCTTCTGTAAAAAACAACAACACAATTTTCTGATACAACCTTTTGCACTAACAGTAGTGATATGTTTCTGATGATAAGAATAACATTTCCGAAACGTAAAATATAATATAACAAAAGAAAATGAATCAAAATTAAAAAGACGTTAAATTTTCCAACTACAAACGTAAAACCTGAAAATTTCCAAACAAAGAGAAAAAAATAGGCAAAAATAGTCCATTATTTAAGTATTAACTTTTTTTTTTAAAGATGCAATTTTAAAAATTGTATGCGTGTTTTAAAAAAAAAAATCAAAATACTTTAATAATTTTGATTTACTACAGATTGATATTAAAATGAAGTTAAACCGTTATAAACATTGATTCATATATATCTATACACTACGAGATATGCTGATAAAAAAAAACAAAAAAAAAACGAGGAATTTTATGCTTATATCAACAGTAAATGTTGAGTACTTTGTCTTAATATAAGTTGAAAAAATGGTCAATTTTGACTGCACTCATAGAATACTTCCAAAGAAGAGGAAAACTTTAGTTTAGTTCGCAATTAAGAAATAAGAGGCTACCCTCAATTAATTTAATAGGTTCTTCAACCAGAGTTGTTTATTAAGATTGCTTCCTCCAAAAGCTTTTAATTGGTAAGTATAATTTTTAAAATAATTAATTGGAAAATATTTCCAAAGAAATAGAAATAGAAACATATACATAAAAAATCTATAGATCTGAACTATATTTTTTATTGTGAATTACATAACGTCGTCTTTGAGTTTCGAATCCACTCTTAGGTCATATTCAGTATGAAAAAGTGGGTGACCGGACCTTCAACCTTTGGGCAGTATAGTAGTAGGATACATAAGCCAATGTAAAGTTTTATCATTTTTATTGAGCACGTAAGAAAATAAATTAGAAAAAAACGGTTGTTCACGAGAAGCAAATGTAATATTTTAATGGTTTATTTCTGACATTTCAAAAAAATGAAAGAATGATGATATAAATACTGATCCATCATTTACCGCATCGGCATATTTCGATAAAGGTTTACTGTTTGATTCGTGCCATTCTGTAAAATATTTGTTAATTTTACCTATACATCGCCGCCATCAGTTTCCACTGGTTTCCAACAACAGTGACGCTGCTGGGAGAGGAGCGCTGGGATCTCCTGGAGTCGTGCCTTGGCTTCCACATTTGGGGAACTAAGCATAACTCAGAGTCCCCTGGGCCAATGTAAATATTGTAGATTGGTGTGAACATGTTTTATTTACTTTAATTTCATTTAGCTTCCAACTATTATTTCATTTTTTGTACAGAGGCATATTAATATACATATTTTATTTTTCTATATTTATTTTTCTTTATTATTTCTATCTTAGTTATTATTTGTATAAATATATTGTGTGATTGATTAATGAAGTCTTAATATTAATGCCGTTCAATGTGGCAGATTGATATTCAATAAATAAAAAAAATAAAAAGACCTATACATCTTGTATTTGGCCACCACATATTGTCTCTTGCCAACTATCCAGGCATTATTTGCTGTGAAAAGACGTCCTGGTGGATTACTTGGAGCTAAATACAACGCCCATCGCAATCTCCATGTCTTCGTTTCATGTGATATTGACTAACCAGTTTCGCTTCTAGAAGTTCATCGTTTATTCTATTTCGAGAGTTAAGGTTCTGTTTGCAGATCCCAATGGCTATCAGGCAGAGGAAGTGTCTCTAAGGTCTCACGATTCTGCTTTCTAGGAAGCTGACTAGAAACAGATTTCGCAGATATATGAAAGGACTAATTATATCACAAGATTTTTGAAGGAGATAAAAATGCTCTGTTGGCGTCTGAATGACGCTGGTCTATCGAAGTTGATCACTTATTGAAGATATTGTGAAGCCGAAGTGTTAATTTCGGAATCGCTTCTTCTCAAAGAAGATACTGGTGGATTATGTTTTTTGTTTAACTATCATATATTTTGCTCTTACATTATTCATTTATCGGAATTCTAACGAGTCTCTTGATATCATCTTAATTCCTTTTGAGGACCATCTGCGTATATTAGGCTTTTATGTCCTATTCAGAGGAGTATAGCTTTCTTCCTCTTTATAAGGCTAAGCAGGACATTATCTGCATTATCTCCTTAACTTAAGCATGTTCAAACTTCAAAGGCTTGAGATGCTTCTTCTTGTATTTCGACTTTGCTTTTAGGACCATCTGTCCACACCTTCACCAATCTTACCAACTCCCCGAGAAGACCATGCTGAATCACGATCTTCCAAATTTAGCGTGTTCGTTCCTTTCCTGAATCCTTTTTGTTGGGCACCTGGTTTTCCTTCCTTCTCCTTTATATTCATTAAATTTAATTTAATTGGTATTAGACCATTATTTCCCGACTTCACAAATTTAGATTGATTCGATCGGTTATATATGCGGTTTAGGAAGATCTTCTTCATCATTACGTGGCATCAGGCACTGCAGGGAGCAGTTGATAGATGAACTACCTATCAACTGCTTCCTGCAGTCACTGATGCCACAACATGATAAAGACCTATAAAGTGGTCTTCAAAACGGCGGTATAACAATTAAAAATACTATTTTTAAAATTTAGTATTTATTTGACCGCTCCTCCCGACCAATTCCTTCTCATATATATATATATATATATATATATATATATATATATATATATATATATATATATATATATATATATATATATATATATATATATATATTCAAAACGCTAAAAACAATATCTCTTGTGTTTTATAACAATACTCAATGTTCACTGTGAGCTTTCACAGTCGATATTTTGCTCATAGGGATTGAGAATACTATATTTAAAATTAATCCATGTTTCGTTTAATAGTAATAATTTACCTAAAAAATAATTATTTATGATGTTTATTCAAAATTCTTATTTACTTATTATATCAACATAATACTGCCCAATTTCCTTTTTATCAGTTTTGGAATTAAAAACATTTTTGATATTTTTAGTTATATGCTTTTTTTTCTTTTCAAATATGTATCTGCCTCTGTCATGGTATTGTCAATCAGTAGATTTGTTGTGATAAATAATGATTGGCATTAGATGCATGAGGAAGCATAGCTCTCGCCAGCACTTTTTTCTGGTAATTATTTACTGCTTTGAGTTTGAGATGAAAACGCGAGTACAGAGACCAAACTATATGTGAAATTTCTCGTTGAAATGATTTTTTTACTGATGAAATAAATACCCTGGGAATAATGAGGTATTTTGTAGCAATGTTATTTGTATAATATTCGTATAGTAATAATATTGAGATCCTTAAATAAAAGTCATTAAGCAAAAAAAAGGTTACTTATCTTAAAACAGAATTAAATAATTATTTCCTGTATCACCAGCATATATGCTGATTGTCAACAATAAGTTGACAGGCGCAAATACATTTTTCATAGGCAAGAAAAAAAATCTTGATGTGTTAAGGTATTTTTGTGTGCAATTTGTTTGCGTGTTAGGTACATAGTTTTGAAACTAGTTTAATTTTAATATTAATGAGAAAGATAAAAAATGTAAAATAAATTATTTTTCAGGCAAAAAATGTTAATGAAGAAGTAAATATCATAATTTTCTGATATTCGGCTTTTAATGTAGGATAGCGCCTTAATTCTAAGCTCATACAGTTACGCAATACATTACAGTTGTGCAAAAGTGTAGTCAGAATGGCCCGGCTACTTTTCATGTTCCTTCCGTTGGGAATTCGGCTCTAGCCGGTGACTAAGACACATCGGCTCCACGGCGGTGTCCTTTTTGATAGAGTTTTATTCGCCCAATTGAGCCAAAACTTGACATGTGACCGAAGACGTATGCTGGAGACCTGCTGCTTGAATTTCGAAAAAATCAAGCAAAGAACTTCGCCAGGACCAGGAGGTAAAGAACTCAACGTGCCTGTGGGACCGGGGTCCTTATCGCTGTGCAGAATAGGACTTGTCGGCCCCCTCCACCTCACAGCGGCCGCCTCCATCCAGCAAGGTCAGTGGCGTCTTATCAATACCAACAGCTGTCACCGAAAGAGCCCAACCTATTTTGTTGTTATCATTTTTTTTCTCTCTCCTCTCTTATTTAAAAAAAACTGATCACAGGAAAGCTAGATTATTGAAATTAATGAATTATTATTTATAAGAATTAGTATTTAGCTTTAT